TTCGCCCCATCACCAAGCCCCTCTCCATGCAAATCTCCATCTCCAGCCCCCTCCCGGCCCCGCCCCGGCCCCCGCACCCACGGCTTGAGGCAGTGAGCCGCTGTCAGGAGCCATTTGGGGGCGACGAGGGTTGCCCCACAGAGCAGACGTGTCTTCTGGAACAGAACCACCTGCCAGGGCTGGGAATGAGGATAACACTCGTACCCCTTGATGATCCTGGTCTCTCCCCCTACATGCCCTGGAGGGGGTGGGGGTAAAAGAGGGGGCTCAGGCATGAGAGGACTCCCAGGAGAGAGGGAGTAGCGGGGTGTCTGGGCTCCCCCGCCTGGTGTCCCGCTGGGATGCACTGGATGGACGGGCCGGGCATTGAATGATTGACATAGCGGTTGGCCAATAGCCACTGTCCTGAGCTCTTTGCCCTCTACTCTAGCCCGGCTGCCCTGGCCCCTCCCCTGGGACCCTCCTGGGCCTCCTCCGCATTCTAGCATCTATACCGTGATGGCGAACCTATGACACGTGTGTCAGAGGTGACACGTGAACTCATTTTTTTGGTTGATTTTTCTTTGTTAAATGGCATTTAAATATATAAAATAAGTATCAAAAATATAAACCTTTCGTTTTACTGTGGTTGCAAAGATCAAACAATTTCTCTATGCGCACGGCACCAGAGATGAGGCAGCGGGTGCCCGGGGTGACGCAGCGTGACGACAGGGTAAGGGGGCGCACGGCCCAGGTGATGATGGCGGGCGACGCCAACTTCACCAGCATGATGTCATTGCGGTGGTCCTTGTTGGGGACGCTGTTGTTGAAGTCCGGGTGGGGGAAGGACTCGGTGGCCCTTCGGGTCTGCTCCCAGCCATCATGTCGCTGAAGGTGGTGCATCCCCAGGTGGACTATGTATTGGCTGAGATGGGAGAGATGGTGGTCAGAGGTGGAAGGAGGAGAGATGGGAGGTGGGGCCAAAGGCATGGGGTTGGAGGGGAGACATGAGGGCCTCTTGAAGGAATGAAGGACCACATGTCCACTTCCAACCTCACCCCTGGGTCCCATCAAAACCCCCTTCCAAACTACATCCCCACCCAGCACCCAGCACCCAGCACCCTGCCCTGTACGCAACCCAGTCCCAGTTCCGACGTCGTCCATCCCTCCCTCCTCGATCCCCAGTGGCTGCCCATCACCAACGCCAACTCAGCCCCACC